TTGAGGTAATAATGCAGTACCTCTGGTTTATGCTTATACCTCTGATTTTACGTCCAATATTTTCACCTTAAGTAACTGTGAAACTTTTGCGTTGTTTATTATACAGCTATAGTTAAATATATGCTCAAATTATTTGAAATATATGCTCAAATTATTTGAGGTATCGTAATGAATAATTTAAAGGAAACTTGGAATATTTTAAAAAACCAAAAAACAAACAAACACAAAAAAAAAAAAAAAGCAACAAATATAAAATTTCATGTTATACAAAATTTTATTCACTACCCGGTATATAACGTGTTGCTTTCTTTCTACCTGTTTTACACACCATTAATCAATCTTTGCATATTTCCTTTCAAATTCTAACAATTTCACACAATTTATCATCAACTGTCAGGTCCAATCTCTTTTTCACTATCATACTACCGATGTATTTTTTTTACACAGGATGAGTTGCAATTTTTGTTTGTTTTTTCCTTCTGCAATGGACGACCACCTTCAACCACAGTCAGTTAATTTTTGTGTATCTGAATTGGTCCAGTCAGACTAGTTAGCCCACTAGTAAACTAGTCCAATCTTTAACTCCACTTATTGCATCAAGCACCACTCTAAATTCAATGATATTAAACAGTTAAAACCTAAACCAAGGTGGAACTGGAGCTCTCTCCCATGTTTGCTGATGATCTCGTTTCATGTCTATTTTTATTTTCTCTGCATCCTTCATATCTTTCATTGTAGGGGGCAATTTTTCTCCAAAAAGATCAGGAAATTTGAATTCTTGGCCTTCTCCCTGAATTTAAAAGAAAAAAAAAAAAAAAAAAAAAAAAAAAAAAAAAAAAAAAAAAAAAGGCAATTAGCAAAGAACTTTATATTTCTGTTAAAATTAGAAGGTTTTTTTTTTGTTTTGTTTTTTGGAAGGATGAACTAATTCAGTATGGCAATCCAAACTGGCCAATAGTTTTAACAACTGTACTGCACATAAACATGAGTTTCCTAACCTAGGAGCATCAAAGGTATTGTAAATGCTCAGCAAAGCAAATCTAGCTAAGGTAAAATTCTATACTTTTTTCCACTATTTAAATTTTTTATTAAAGCATTTCTTTTAAAATTAGTATTGGGCAGTTAATAATAGTGAGATATATTAGGAATGGGGAGTTAATAACAGTAAGCAGATATATTAGTATTGGTGAGTTAATAATAGTAAGGAGATATGCTATCAAAATGGTTGTTGGGGGTGCTGAGTTGGGTCATTTCATTATTCCAAATATATATATTACATTCAAATCCGTCTGTTACAAAATTTTAAAATGCTAAATTCCAAGAGATTACAACATCCTGTATTCGTGACAAGTAGGAGGACTTTTAAATGGCTCCCCACCAATAAAACCCTCAATTGCACCACCAGGATGGAAAAACTATATTTAATGTGTCTGTAGCAAAATAGCTACTATATGTTTAATATCTAGTTAATGTGTACATGGATGCATGCGGAGTTTAATAAATCAAGGGGAATAAACATTTAATTTTGCATAAACTTACCAAAACAAGGTAAGCCAACCGCTTGTCTGGTTCTCTGGCTTGGACAAAACCTTTAGTTTTGTGTTTAATATCCGCTCCTGTAGAGTAAAAATAAGAATGATTAAAACCAGATATATGCTAAATGTTTGTAGATAGCATTAACTCATTTTTCATATAATGTCATAAGCTTTGTATGTTTTTTTTTTAAACACCCCAAAACATTTCAATTCTGTAAACCGCCCCCCCCCCTTTTCAATAATTGTGAACGCTGTGAAAGACCCCAAAATGTCAACTCTAAAACACCATAAGAAAAGTAAACTCTATTTAAAAAAAAACAAAAAATAAAATTGGGGGGAAAGGAACTAAGGACCCTTCAAAAATTTTATTTTTAAAAACATGCACAATTATTATGTTATATTCAAACACAACAAAAGCCCCCCCCCCCCCAATCCACACCCAAAGGAAAGCCACTAAAAAGGCATATTCCCCGTCCCACCCCCATTTTCAGTCCTTTTCTTTTTTGCTAACGCTTCCATTCGAAGATTCACATGTAGGCCTACATATACATTTTTTTTTTTTAATTTGTGAAATAAGCCGTTACTCAGTACGACTTCTACACTCTATCAAAGCTTGAAGAGACACGTAAACTGTTGGTAGGGGATATCGCCTCACTCCCTCCCGATCCCCCTTTGAAAGTTCACAATTATGGTGTATTTCGAGAAGGGAGCAGGCTCAAAATTTAGCTACACCTCTGACTGCACCGCTAGTATTTATATTCGTAAACAGGCAATAATAATTATGTCCCTTTGTTTCCAACCAAAAAAAGATTACAACCTCTGTTAGACAGCTTTTTTTTTTAAATACGGAGGTTCTCTAACTTTTGGAAGGATGTACCACTGAAATACTCTGTTTTAAATGGGAGTGGTACAATAGCAACATGTGCCACCGCCGCCCGGCATTAAAAAAATATGTACCTAGAGAGTTTAAGCCTTGTTTGAGGTAATAATGCAGTACCTCTGGTTTATGCTTATACCTCTGATTTTACGTCCAATATTTTCACCTTAAGTAACTGTGAAACTTTTGCGTTGTTTATTATACAGCTATAGTTAAATATATGCTCAAATTATTTGAAATATATGCTCAAATTATTTGAGGTATCGTAATGAATAATTTAATGGAAACTTGGAATATTTTAACAAACCAAAAAACAAACAAACACAAAAAAAAAAAAAAAGCAACAAATATAAAATTTCATGTTATACAAAATTTTATTCACTACCCGGTATATAATGTGTTGCTTTCTTTCTACCTGTTTTACACACCATTAATCAATCTTTGCATATTTCCTTTCAAATTCTAACAATTTCACACAATTTATCATCAACTGTCAGGTCCAATCTCTTTTTCACTATCATACTACCGATGTATTTTTTTTACACAGGATGAGTTGCAATTTTTGTTTGTTTTTTCCTTCTGCAATGGACGACCACCTTCAACCACAGTCAGTTAATTTTTGTGTATCTGAATTGGTCCAGTCAGACTAGTTAGCCCACTAGTAAACTAGTCCAATCTTTAACTCCACTTATTGCATCAAGCACCACTCTAAATTCAATGATATTAAACAGTTAAAACCTAAACCAAGGTGGAACTGGAGCTCTCTCCCATGTTTGCTGATGATCTCGTTTCATGTCTATTTTTATTTTCTCTGCATCCTTCATATCTTTCATTGTAGGGGGCAATTTTTCTCCAAAAAGATCAGGAAATTTGAATTCTTGGCCTTCTCCCTGAATTTAAAAGAAAAAAAAAAAAAAAAAAAAAAAAAAAAAAAAAAATAAAAAAAAAAATTATTTT